CTTTTATCTTTTTTTGTGGAGGTGGCATTTTTTCTAAATTATATAAGAAGGTATAGACAATCAAAAACAGACATTCATATACATGAACTGCAGAATCATTTATATAACTTGGCCAATGTCAAAAGTTACATAGTATTTCTCAATACAATGAGTTAACAAGAGTTTGGCAATAAGTAACAGTGTGGATTTTTCTATATTTTCTTTTTTTTATTCCACTCTCTACCCAAAAAGGCAAGTAATGACTCACAGGGTTATCAAGTATTCAAAATAAAAACTTAAATGACCTGTTGTGGTGTGTTTTGCGCACAACCAGCATGCATCGTTAACGCAATGGAAAATTTAGGTATCCGAGCTTTAATTTCGGGAGCGCTGGTTGCGCTTTGGGAAGAGTCAGGGGAGAGACATGTCAGAGACACAGGGGAGAAACGCGGGAGATACGAGGGAGACCCGCACTTGCAACATGGTTCTGTCTGCATATGGTCCGAGCTCGGTACCATGTTAGAGCTGTGCTTTCACTGAGCGCCGCGGCTGTCATTACAAAGCGGCAGCAGCTGCACCAGGACGTGCACATTCGAGTGCATCTCTTGAATGTGCTTAGGGCAAATAACAGCAAGTGCCCGCTGTCACACATTTCACAGAAATTACATTATCAGCAGATAAAGGTTGTAAATCGTGGATCCGTGGAATATTTTCATCACTAGTTTATCCTGATTCACACAACACACCCACTTATACATTTTGGATAGTAAGAGCACAATAAGTATTTTTTCAGCCTTTCAACCAACCTGTTTCTTTATTGGAGCCAGTTCTGTTCTGTCTCTGTGCCGTGTGAGCTCCTCGGAACATTAAACAGTGCACTGACAGATTAGAAATAACGTAAGTACTTTGAATGGTAATAGATCTACAGTACTTTCCTCTGATTACTCACGTGCTACAACGCTCAGGGAACGAAAAAAAAACACTTGCTTCACGCTGGCTAACTTTTAAAAATTAAACAGTCGCTCAGTGCTTCAGTTTGGCGCTGAAGAAGACAGCCAATCACTGCAGAGAACGGAACGGGTCACGTGCTGCTGCTGCTGCTGTTGCTCTGGAGGCGAGGAGGAGGCGCGACGTATGCACAAACGGAAGACATGTGTCCCGGACCGTCCGGGTCACGGGACATCATGTCATTTTGGTGGGGACTTTTTAGTCCTCACCAAATATTGGTGGGGACATGTCCCCATGGTCCCCACGCAAACCTACGCCCTTGGAACCGGCACTTTCCGACTTCTTTTCCCTTTAATTTCAATACGTTGAAAATGCTGACACAGCTTTTTGTCAAGTTCGGACAGTCCCAGAGCAATGTCAGAATGGATCCCAGTCTTACTTCGTAAACGCTGTCAGTGGCATCTTTGAAACCTCACCTTCCCTTCTTCGATTGAAAATAATGACCTCACAAAGAGTCAAAACTGCCAGTTTAGACCAATGCTTAGACGTTGGCTCACTTATTAGGGTTTGCACATATTCAGGTCGACATACCTCAATATGTGCATGCATGGCTCTAACGTCCTCAGTCAGAGGGAGCAGGTCCGGAGTGTTCCACTTGGCTTGCCGGAGGGTCTGTAGGGCAGCAGAAGAAACACAGACGTCCCACCTCTTCTCAAAAAGCAGCCGGCTTCGTTGGAGGTTTTTAATAAATAGTTCATCAACACAATGCTCCATTTTTGAGTCACATTCAAGAATATCTGCTAGCTTTCTGAGGCTATGGCCGAGTTTGAGGGCCAAGGATGGAGTCTTGTATTGATTTGTTTCCTCATCATATCCAGCCACAGACCTGACTACATCAATCACATGGTTAAAGTTGGAAGGAATAAAGAAATCCTTAATTGTTTTCAGTTTCCCTGCAGTTTTTGCTTCGTTAATTAACCTACCGACTTCTCTCATTTTCTGCCTAATGTAATCATGCTTAGTCTTATCATGCCCGTGTTTTAAGTACAGGTGCTCTCCGAGTCTCAGAATCCCCTTTTCTGCTTTGACAACACCCGTGACCTCATCCTGATGCATTGCCGAAATTAAAGACCACAGCTTTTTGCTGATGCCCTCCGGTACAGGCTGGGCTAGGGAGCAGAGGGACTGGACCCTACTTCTACCTGGTTTAGCCTGGGCATCTTTCTGTGAAAGCCGGCACCTGGCCACATGCCTCCACAACGACTTTCGCTTAAGCAATGCCCCACAGTCTATACAGTGCAAAAACTCACTGGATTTAACTGGGCAATTTGGCTGTTTAGCTGGGACTAAAGTTCCAATGCCGGCCTTTAAAACCTCAAAATTGTGCTTACGGTTTCCACTATTCCTGATCAAATCAAACTGAAGTTTACGTGCTTTAGATTTCACAGGTAGAGCCAATGCTCTGGCTACGTCACTTTCATTTCCATGTTTTCTAGTCAAATGACGGGACATTTTGTGGCAGGACATTGAACAGTAGAGGCAGAAGTGTCTCTTGCTATAAACTCGCCCCCCATTTTTCTTCTTTTGCAGCTGCATGATAACAATCTTATTTGCCTTTGGTTCGTCACTTTGTCAAAAGTGTTTTTGATTTTTCTTTTTCCATACTTTTTTACAGGTTTCTTCTTGACAGTTAAATCGTCAGAATCTGAGTCGACTTCATCAATTAGGGACTCTTGACTAAGCTGCACAAACAACAAATAATTTGTGATCATTCTATATAACAATTTGAAGTCATGACTTGTAGTCAGCACTTACCAGTGGTTTGTAAGCGTGCGCTTCAGTGTGCTCCTCCATGATTTCTTGCAGCCTAATGAACCACACACTTGCACCTTTTTCTAGCCTGACACCTGATTTCCTCTGTTGTGCTGCTCCATGATTGGCTCCAGCCTGCTGGACTGAAATTGCCCCAGTGTGCCCCTCCTTGATATCCCGCAACCCACCACCAGGGTTCCGACACATAACACACTTTTTTCAGGAAAGTAAACCTCCAGGGGTCCTTTCCATATTTTTACAGAGACTGCATAAGGACCATTAGAAAAGCATTACCCATTGATTATTAAGCTTGGACCAGTGGGGTCCGGTGTTCGGGCCCCACCACGTAAAACCAGTCCCCATGACGTGAGTGGAATCTCAGGTTATGGAACCCACCAGGAGTTGAAAACAAGTGCACACACACACACACACACACACACACACACACACACACACACACACACACACACACACACACACACACACACAGAATATGAAACTGTAGTCTCCAGCTGGATCATCAAGACTATTGGTCCTCATTGTCAATCATTCTGGTCATATGCTGCTCGTCAAACAATAAAAAGACACCATTTCAGACAATGGTGTGGGGCTTCCCACTGATGCTTCAATCTCTCGCACGCGTTTTAGTAGGGACCAGAGGGCGGTTCTTCCCTAAAATTTGGAAATATAGTATAGTAAATATTTGTTTATAGTACTTTTCCAAATCTTATTAGTGCTCTCCTCAGTTCTGTGCACTCTCAAGCAGCAACTTACAAAGACTTACAAAAGACAAAAGACTTATAAAAGACAAAAGTCAAGAGGGCTTCCATCTGCATCATGTTTTTTGGTGGCCGTAAGTCCGCATAGAGAACCCTGTGGAATGCCCTGTTTAGTCCAATCTGAGGAAAATCATTCAGCAGAAGGACCAGTGGACATCAGGGGACCAGGCACGACAGGAGGATGGAGAAATTGTCCGAGATAAAGTCCATAGGAAAATTTGGAATATCTGTCCTCCATCTTAGCCCTAAAAACAACAATACATAATCCACATGTACCATCTACAAACTTTAAAAAAAGACACACATCTGGAACGTAGCGTTGGGCCAAGAGCTGACTTTTGGACCATCCTGTAAAGCCGTTTTTGACGCCCTACAAAAGCATTGGGTAATTCTTATTCCGGGTCCACCCCCACAGGCCCGGTGTGAGATTGCATGCATGTCAGCGCCATACACCCGCCCTCACTGTGTTAGACAGCAATACAAAGTAACCGAATCAGACCAAAACAGACTCAGCATTTACAAAAGGGAGAGTTGCAAATAATACCAGGCAAGCTTGGCTCCCATCAGTGTGAGATTTACCAGAGCACTGCTCCTTTATGCTCAATCATTGTAAATCAATGTAATCTGACCATCTTCCGATAGCTTGAGCAAATGAGTGATCTTGAGAACGTTTCTATTGTGAACCAAACAGTCAACTATACCATTTGGAATAAATCTTGTTGGTTCCACGGAGGAAATATCAACACTTATGGACCTATACCAATGTGTTTTTTTTCTTTTTCTTGTGTTTGAAGAAGAAGAAAAAAAAGTGTATTTGGCATTTGCAGTAAAACCACATTGGAATACATTTGCATGTCCCCATTGTGCATCAGAATGGTTTGATGCTCTGATCTGTGTTCACAAATTCAACGGTTCTGTAAAGTCCTTCGAGATTACTACTATTGTGACTATGGCTATACAAGAATAAAATACAATACAACACAATTTACTCTTGTATAGCCCTAAATCACAACAGTAGTAATCTCAGAGAACTTAACAAAACCGTTGAAATCACCAACACAGATGATAGAATCAATAGTTAAAACACAAAAAGAATATAGAACACATGTTGATGAATGTCCATACATGCTGTAGAATGTTAAAGTGTCCTGGATCATCACCACAGTCCTTTTTGTTAGACACTAACTGTCCAACAGACTCTTCTACATCAGCAAGGAAAAACTCATAAGAAAAACCCAGTGGGAAAAAAGTGAGAAACCTCGGGGAGACCATAACGTTATAACGGACAGAGATAGGCGTGACTCTGTCCGTTATTTATATACAGTCTATGGGGGAGACCCACATATTGAGAGAGGGATCCGCTCCACACGGACGGACGGGCTGTAGATCCAGTGCCACGCAGCAGCCACAGAACGTGGACAGGTCCGGTGCAGGACTGAAACAGCTCCCAGGCGGGTTGGGCGGGGCAGTCCGCAGGTGTAGATGGAGGAGGCCAGGCTCAGAGGTCCCGTCGTTGCATCATGAAACAGACAATGGGACAACGGGTGAATAGCAATGAACAGTCTACAGTCAAAATCCTAATAATGCAGTCAGATAAAGTAGGAAGGAGGAGAGGATAGTGCTCAAGTTACCATACTTCTCCCAGCAAACTAACTCCCTATGCAGCTTGACTGACAGTCTAAGATTTTTTGCCTTCCCTGAGTCTTAAATTCCTAACCCATATGCTGAACTAAAGACAACTGTTTAAAGCGTGTGTAAAAGTGTGTAAACCTAACCATATGCTAAATTGAAGAAGAGTGTTTAAAGCCTGGCCTTAAATGTGGAGACCGTATATGCTTCTTTAACGTGGATGGGAAGCTGATTCCACAGTAAAGGAGATTGGTAGCTAAATGCTTTTTGAGACCTTAGGAACCACCAGACGTCTGACATTATGTGAGCGCAGTCGCAGTGCTCGGTTTGGTTGATATGACACTACCGTGTCTTGAACATAAGAAGTAGTAGTAGTAGTAGTAAGTAATCTTTATTTATATACCGCCTTTTCACTGCAGATCTGAGTCTCAAAGCGGTTTACAATTGTTAATTTTGGGCATTTGTCTCTCACTCCACACAGAGATGGGAGCAGGGTCACCAGTACAGGAGGCGCATGCCAGAACTATTGGACATATTTTTAGTGGTAGGGGAACCCGGAGTGCCTGGAGGAAACCTACGCAGACACGGGGAGAACATGCAAACTCCACTCAGAAAGGCCCTGGTCCGACCGGGATTTGAACCCAGGACCTTCTTGCTGAGAGGCGAGAGTGCTATCCACTCAGCCACGGTGCCGCCCAGTAGCCAGGCCATTATTGGCATATGTTAAAAAGAGGATTCTAAACTTTGTTCTAGTGGAGTGATTTTAACACCGGAGTTATGTGCTCCCTCCTTTTGGTGCTTGTTAAGATCCTTGCTGCTGTATTTTGAACGAGCTGGAAGCTCTTCAAAGAGGTTTTAGGGCATGCTGCCAGCAAAGCCTTACAGTAGTCAAGCCTTTAGGTGACAAAAGCGTGGATCAGTTTTTCCTGATTTTAGTGATGTTCCGCAAGTGGAAATATGCTGAATAAATTGAATTGAATTGAATATCAGATAATAGCTGGTCAGACTTATTAAGTAAATGGCTCGCTCTGGCCCCATTAAAAGGAGAAATTGTGCACCACATTGACCAACGAAGTATTTGTCGATAAAGCAGAAACACAGAATATTACAGGGCAGTGAACACATTAGTTCTATCTCACTTTATACATCTGCATTCTCAGTTCTGTGGTGTGGGACCCAGCTCCGCCCCTCCTTCCCCTCTCTGTGTCTTGTGCGCTCAACAATAGTCTATTCTGCATCGTGCCGTGCCAGAGCAGACACACCCCACCCGCCAAGGCCACCGCGCTGGGTTGTGGGGGGACAGAGTTGGGTCTGGGCCAACCGTCCTTGCATCGGGACACTGGGTGGATTCTCGTCTGGGAGCGTGGACCGCGACTCCGGAGAGGGCAGGGGTGCTCAGCAATGGTCAGGGGACATACATTAGGCTCATCATCACCTCATGCGTCCCCAAAAAAGTCCCCCACCTCCTCACATATGTAGACACAATACGGGCCCTGATCCACGAGCGAAAGGCCATTCCATCAACTATCACGGCAATCACAGCTGGAGCCCCCACACAATGCAGCCGCAAGACCCGCCTGCTTCTGTGCAGTGTGATAGTGGCGTACGCGGCTCCATGTGAGGGCCCCGCCTGTCCACGCAGCCTAATTATATCATTAGTGCCTTGTCTGATTGTCTCTCCGCAGCTGAGACCAGGGAGGGCCTTTGTGCATCGCTGGAATGCCGTGCGCTTGGCATTTTTCAGCAAAGGGCAGGAGCATTTTAGAGGAGAGGAGGCTGAGATCACTGCTGCTGCGGCCCACTGCCTCTCTCTCCGGGTCGGTGTCACATCCATCTTTATCAGGAGCTCATACAGACGCGCACTTGTCTATCAGGCACACTGCAAACGCTTCACTGAGCAAGCTTTACAACATGGGCAAAGGGCGATCTGCTTCGCGTGGAACTGATTGAGAAAATGGCACCGCATCAGTCATTTCTGATTTTTTTTGGTGTTGCCATGAGGTAATGCGAGACTTTCCCACACAAGTCTTGATGGATAGTTTGAAAACAACACAGTATGTAGCACAAGGAAACGAGAATGTTGAAGTTCTTTTATATCCGAAATTATTTTGACCTACAAGTCTATTTTTGGGCTTCAATAAGAAACATATTGTCTATAAGGCGTGTTAGTGCCATATGAACCAAGTCAGACTGAGAAGCACAGGGACTGGCCTCCTGCTGGTGCCCAGAGTCAGAACTAAACATGAGGAGGCAGTGTTTCAGATTTATGCAGCTAAAATCTGGAACAGTCTTCCTGAAAATGTGAGAGGCTTCTTCTCTGAAAAAATCCAGGTAAAAAACACTTTTTAATGTACAGTGATTATTTATGATTTTAACACCTTTTTGTTTCTATCTCTGCCTATGATCTGTGCTTTACAATTACGTAGTACATTAAGTAGACTTTTCGTTGGTTTGTTTTCTATTTTTCCCTGACCAATTTCAAATATAAAAAGTATCAAGTATCAAGAAGGCTTTTAGGGTCACAGGTGAAACTTTGAAGATTAGAATATTGTTCCAAAGTCCAATTATTTCTGTAATTCATCTGAAAATGTGAAACTAATTAGACTTTTTACAGGCAGAGTGAGATATGTCAAGCCAAGTAACAAATGCTTGGTATCTGTCACTCTGCTGGCAAGTCTGTATCATTTATTAGTTTCACATTTCAAGTTGAACTATAAAAATGAATTGACTGATTGATTGATTGAATTTTGAACAATGTTGTATTTTCAGAGTTTCACCTCTATGTTATCAAGGTTATTTTACATTTTAAAAGTATTTTAACAATTGCAAATTCTATTTTTCTTTGCACCTTTGTTTTGCCCCTGGATGGACAATACGTAAGTTAGTGTTTTCCATTCATAGATATAAATATAATATCATATATTTATGATAGATTGAAAAAAAAGAAAGTCGGCTGCGTAGGTTTCCTCCGGGTACTCCGGTTTCCCCTACCACTAAAAATATGTCCAATAGTTCTGGCATGCGCCTCCTGTACTGGCGACCCCGCTCCCATCTCTGTATGGAGTGAGAGACAAATGCCCAAAAATTAACAATTCTAAATTGCTTTGAGACTCAGATCTGCAGTGAAAAGGCGGTATATAAATGAAGATTACTACTACTACTACTACTTACTTACTATTATAGGGTTAGTATATGTATTATGCATTCTTTACAGTCCTACTTTGGGGTCCAGAATCTTCCTGTCTGTGGCATATGTAGCCCATTAGCTCTGATTACAAACTGCTGGGGTTTACATAGAAATGATACATATTCTGCATTTTATATGACAGCATGTGCTATTTTTGTGTTTGTAAAAAACAAAACCAGCTAAATGTCATCCAACAAACTGAAAACTCTGCTCTCTGATTGGATAATATGTTTGAAAATCGCAAACATACTGGAAATTATATGTCCATTGTATTTTAAATAAACTTTTGTTCAGAAGGTCATCATGATTAGTTCATGTTGACCAACATCTGGGACCACATTCTGTAATAGATAATCTATAATGAAAATATCTGTATCTTTAATACACTGTACTCCTTCTGAGGAAAAAAACAAAATGTACCGCACTCTCACTTGAACGACTATATCTTTTGGTGATAGCATTTATTTGAACAGTTGAAGTTATTCCACTGATGAGCTGGGAGGCGGTTCAGTTCTCCGTCAGCACAGGTGAGCATTTATCCCCAAACGTGTGCAAACAGTCATTAGCACGTACAGGTCTCCAATTTACTGTCTCTCCAGTCAGATTACTGCTTTGGAACACACGGAAAAATAGATCTTTGTACAGAGAAAATATCACTTTCACAGCATACAAACATGCATCAAAATGAGAGAATCTCCGCTGGCATTCAAGTGTCTGGGGCCCGGCCTATATTTGGGCTTTTTGTAGGTTGTGGAGATGGTGAGAAACGCAGGATTTGCCTGGTAACCGTTTTAGAAGTTGGCAGCTACTTCATGAGTTTGTGTCGTCTCCGGAGAGTTGTGCTCGCTGCCATACATGCTTCCACACAAGGAAAACGAAATCACATGAGCTCGGAACTGGGAAATCACACGGCATGATGCAAAGTGGTTAGATCCCAGAGCAATAATTATCAATTTATTTCTAGAAGTTTCGAAAATTGGCTTTTTCTCCTCATGTTGATTGATGCTCCAGCTACATAATCTAACAAAACTGGCTCAGCATTGTGTAAAAAGGTCCATGGTCCTGGTTCAATTCAGTTTATTTCTTATTTTTGTATAGCAATCCCTGGTCTCTCTCTGGTCTCCTTTTCTGGTCTCTCTCCCTGGTCTCTCCCTGGTCTCTTTCTCTGGTCTCTCCCTGGTCTCTCTCTGGTCTCCTTTTCTGGTCTCTCTCCCTGGTCTCTCCTTGGTCTCTCTCTGGTCTAACTTTCTGGGCTCTCTCTTGTCTCTCTCTGCTCTCACTCTCTGGGTTCTCTCTTGTCTCTCTCTGGTCTCACTCTCTGGGCTCTCTCTGCTCTCACGCTATGGCCTTTCCTTAGTCTCTCTCTGCTCTCACTCTCTGGTCTCTCCCTGGTCTCTCTCTTGGGTCTTTCTCAGGTCTCTCTCTCTGGTCTCTCGCTTGTCACTCTCTGGTCTCTCCATGGTCGTTCTCTCTGGTCTCTCCTGGCCTCTCTCTCTGGTTTCTCTCCATCTTCTTAGAGAGGGAAGAAGCTGGAACATGATCTTTCCAGGGTGTCCACAAGAGTCACTGATGAGTCGAAAGAACTCGATGCAAAAGTCTGGACTCACAAAGAGCCTCCCAAACTGGCCCACCTTGTTTAGAACTCTCCTTTAAAGCTGTGATGTAGCTGAATCACACGATCGTAGAACCAACAAGCAGACTTTTTATGTCCTTATGTTCAATGTTACTGGAGTCAGGGAAATATACCACATGGAAAACCACCACCACATCTGACTATAAATACTGACCTTGAGGATGAGTTGAAAAGATGGAGGCAGTGCAGAACAGTGCCAAAGATAGAGCCGACTCATCTCAGTTAATGAATACTTTATGAAACTCCCATAATAACTTTTTGGTGCCATCTTTTTAATTAATGAGACCTCTGAAGTACCCTCTCATATCCCGCTGCCCTTATGTTTCCTGTGTTCTAATTGTTTTGATTCTGTCTTCATTTGACGACTCGACAAAGTTGTAAAGTGCTCCGAGACGACTGAATCAGAATTATTTTTATTGCTATTGTGAGTAACAGGAAGGCACAAACAAGGAAATTGCTCTGGCTCTTGGTGCAAACAAGTTATAAATAAGTGAAAATAGGAAATAGAAAAGGCATGCGTACAAAGAAAATAAAACACACATCTACATAAGTACACCTAAAATTCTTAAAATGTCTACTATATACAGATTCTCTATGTACACACTGCTATTGTGAATTAGAGCTAAACAAATAGAACTGAAATTGAATTGAATCCAGTTGCCCTACTTCTTCACACTAAACAAAATAGCAAACACAAAGTTGGTAGGTGGTGTTTGCGGTGGAGAAAAAAAGTGTTTTCAATTGCGGCTGCAGCATTTGAAACATGTTAGAGATATTGCCTATATGCACACATTTCACCAGTTGAGGACCAAATTTTGACCTCTACTCCATTGTAATAAAATCAAAGGAAGTACAATGTAGTGTGCGGCACATAAGTCTCGTCTCTAACCTTGCCTTTGCAGTGAGCTGGGGCCTCTCCTCTCTGATGTCTTGACCTCTGAGCCCAGACTTGAGTGGAGGAGTCCAGAGGGTCCGGTCGCTGTTATGTAAGGCCAGTGACATTCTGCGGAGCGCTGACCCGGCTTTTGAGCCTCACGCTGCTGCTCTTCATCATGAGGAAGTTTGAGGCATCACGAGGCTCCTCAAAAGAACAGTGATGGTGTGGAACAAAGACTGGTATTATACGCAAAATTCAAAGCTTCATAAAGAACATTGACTGAGAGAAAGCAGTAGGTTATTCTGTTTTGAAACATATTGAAAGTAAGAAATAACAACAATAATAATAATAATGCATTGGTTTTATATTGCGTTTTTTGTGGACACTGGATATGTCATTATTCTTTCACTGCGCACATGGTGGTGATAAACTACTGCTGAAGCCTCAGCTGTCCTGGGGCAGACTGCAGCTTCAGAGGCACCTGCTGAGAAATACAGATCTGCACAGACGTCACATTTGTCAAGTGGGTCTTCAGTGTTTACACATCTGACTTACATGTATCCAAACAGCTGCCTACAGTGCCACAATCTGCTGAATCCATTAACCTGGCCTTGAACCAGAACTTGTAGTGAAGCAAATCAAATCCTCGTCTGGCTGAACCATGGGAAACTTCACGTCAGAAAAGTTCACGTTCCAACTCTGGCCTGGATTTTCATATTCTCCTGGCATTTCCGGACAGTTCCACCATTTGCAAAATAAAGGCCATCAGAGAAATGGTTCTAATGTTGAACAATAATAAGTGAAGGAGCTGAATGAAAGCCTGGAGAGGCTTGTTGACCTTTCTGAGCTAAACTGGTCCTGGCTTGTGTCTGTGCTGCTGGGCCCATTGTGTCCTGCGCCTTATCATTGTGCTGCAGCTTCCTCTGAGAGCTGTGTGTATGAGTGCGTGTGTGTGTATTTGTATGTGTGAGAGTGTGTGTGAGTGTGGGGGTGTGTGTGTGCGTGAGTGTGGGTGGGTGTGTGTTTGTGTTGGTGTATGTGTGAGAGTGTGTGTGTGTGTGAGTGTGGGTGTGTGTGTGTGTGTGTGTGTTGGTGTATGTGCATGTGCGTGTGTCTGTGTTTACATCTGTGTGTGCGTATTTTTATGTGTGTTTGTGTGCATGTGTAGCCAGTGTGTGTGTGCGGGTATGCTAATGTGTGTCTGAAGTGTGTCTCGGTGTATGTATGTACGTGTGTGTTTGCATGTGTG